CAAAGTGCTTTTTTTTTTTTTTTAATGAATATTTGCCATATATATATATGAGGACACATGTTGTAAAACACAAGCATATATTTCTGAGAAAGGAGGAAAGCAAAAACTAATGATGCAGTGTCTACTCAGGGGACATGAGGACTCGGGTCCCTAGACTTTTACCTTTGTGTTTGTTCGGGATGAACATTCTTCTCCAGTTCTGCTACTGACAGCTGTGCTGATTCACTTTTTCTGATGATGAACACACAGGGCAACAGGGGTTTTGTTTTCTTTGTAAGTTCTCGGGTGTTATCAATAATTGTAAGGTTTAATGATGGGTTGGTTTCTTGGCGGATGCTCTGGTGTGGTTTGCTTCTTGCTTCTTCTTTCCTATCAAACATCTTTCGTTCTTATCTCCCCCCCTTCTTCTTTTTTATATGTTTGTTACTCTCTTGTAACACCTAATCTTCTGGCGCTCATATGACCTTATGCAGTTGCGAGGGCCGTAAATCTTATACTAAAATTAAAACTAAAACTTTCCTTTCAGACATCTAACATCATTGTAACACCTCTAATCTTTGGCACTTGTATGACCTTATTGTGTTGCAAATGCTGTAAAGCTTGTAAAAAAAATTAGATTAAAAAATTTTGTTTGTTTCTTCTGTCCTGTAACACTTTCAATCTTCAGCTCGTAAATCCCGCTTTATTTCCTAGAAGACACAGGCCATAATTATCGTATTCCCAAAGCTTCTGTGTTTGTCTGTGATGAAAATTCTTCTCCAGTTCTGCTACTGACAGCTGTGCTGATTCACTTTTTCTGATGATGAACACACAGGGCAACAGGGGTTTTGTTTTCTTTTCTTTGTAAGTTCTGCATTATTTTGTAAAGTTAAATTATGGGTTGGCCGTGTCGTCGTCCCGTTCCCCTCCCTCTTTACGGAGTTTTGCCCAGTTTGGAGTAGAACAAGTTGTGGGTTCAGGGTCGTCTGGACCCGTTTCTTAAACTGTTTACCTATGGTGTAATGTTCGTTTGTCACTATGCTGTCCCGTGCTTACTTGTATACGCACACGCATGGGCACAGGGCACAAGCGCTGAGAGGCATCTGTCTCCCGCCTTATTTGTTCAGATTCAAAGCAACGACCAGATGAAATTGTGCTGCTCTTTGCGTACTCTTTTCCTGTGGGTGGTTGGCGGGTGCTCCTTCTTTCTTGTTAAACATTTGTCGTCCTTGTCTTGCTTCCTTGGTTTTTTTGTTTGCTCCTCTCTTGTAACACCTTGAACACTTTGCAGTCGCGCAGCCAGCAGTTGTAAGTACCCCATCTGGTCACCCAGCCAGGAGAGTGACTGCAACGGACTTCTCAGGCCTGGCGCATCTGTGACCAGAGCGGATCATTTTCACCGTCACATTATTGCGCCGAGTGACGGCAAAGTGTTAATCTTCAGCACAGCACTTGTAAATCCTGCATTATTTTCCTGAAGACACAGGCCATTATTATCGTATTCCCAAAGCCTTTGTGTTTGTCCGTGATGAAAATTCTTATCCAGTTCTGCTACTGACAGCTGTGCTGATTCACTTTTTCTGATGATGAACACACAGGGCAACAGGGGTTTTTTATTTTGTGTCTGGATAGCGCTGTAAAAGTAGGGGATTATCTCGCATGTGTAACTCACTGCGAAGTACATAAATGACCTTTTTTTTTGCAAGTGCGGTAAACTCAAATAAAAAAACTGGAGTCACGTTTCAGTTAAAGAAAGTTGTGTTGTTTCTGACTGACTTATTTACAGATATATAAGTGCCCAAGATTAGAGGTGTTACAAGAGAGTAACACACGCAAAAAGGAGGAGGATAGATAAGGACAATATGTTTGAGAGAAAAGAAGCAAACCCCATCAGAGCACCTGCCAACCACCCACCCAGCACTTGCAACACAAGGTCATACAAGTGCCGAAGATTAGAGGTGTTACAAGAGAGTAACAAACACACAAAAAAAGGAAGTGTTTATGGTACTCGCAACTGTATAAGGTCGACTTATTATGTTGCAAGTGCCGTAAAACTGTTACTTATACTA